ACCACAGGGCTGGCTTCCTGCTAATTATTTTGAAGACTATTTTCCACAAGTATTTTCAGACATTTTATGTGCCGGGCCATTAGGCTCAGAGTCTGACAGAAAGCATATACCAGGGTAAATGCATAATGTGTCTAAAGATAATCTACTGTTCGGGTTATAGGGCTCTCTGCTGTCTGGCTCACTACTAAATTTGAAAAGTCACTTGCTAGTTTCTCACCTAAGCTGCCACTTGCAGATTTCAGCTGGACAAATAGGCATCAACTTCCCATTATTACGCTCTGAACAAAGAAATGTGGAATTTTTTAATGATTGAAATGTCTGATATTTATCCCACTGATATCCATCCCACTGACACTGCAGCAGAGCCATTCCATAGCTCCTCTGTGTCTCAAATGCATTTGTTCTAGTAAGCAAATAATCAAAAATAAATTGCTCTTCAACACAAAACTGCCTGAGACTTGAACTCACGATGTATAAAAGCCTTTCATCGTCTTTAAATGTATCTAATGTAACCCATAAGACAGTGGGCTCCATTCCTCATTTTTTCTAATTCATGTGAATTACCCCTTAAGACAACAAGGTCGTTCACGCCTTAGTTACTTTTCAAAGGAGCCTATTTTTAAGTGAAAACTATATCACAGTGCCTATTACATTTTGAAATTTTCTGATATATGCCTGCAGTTTGGTATTGGACTTACAATAGCCCCTAACCTATGCACTGGAAAAGACAAGTCTGAACACACTGTTAAAAACGAGCTTTTAGGTCATCTGTTCTCTGTAAAAAACAGTTCTCTGCCTTTTGAAAATGAATACAGCTGCATTTTAAACTATCTGCTCATTCTATTTCCTCGAAAATACTAATGCTACTATTATCGAATAATAACAATAGAAACAAAAATTTTAAAAAACACTATTGAACCTGTTCTAAAATGAGTAAAATCACAGAGAAATCCTAAATGTCTTGTCTTTCAACTTTCACATTTTCCATGCCAAATGCACTGCTTTAGAGCTCTATGTATATATCCATATCCATATCCATATAGACAGACACATATGCATGTATGTATACACATACACAGACACATATATACCTCTCCTCTCAAACATCTACTAGCTGAGTTTTTATAACTGTAAAATTCCAGAATGAAGATCATTTTCCTTTGCTTATTTTTTTGGTATTTCTTCTTTGGAATTTCCTACAGTGCCTACCCTAATGGCTTCTGAAAGATACTTGCTTCTTTGGGACTTATGCATTGTGATGATGTGGAACATCTCTACATGGAAAAACCATGATAGGGTTACTAACATAAAGCCATATGTAATGTTAGTAGCAGAATCGGAACACAAAATATTTTTTTTTACCACATTATTCAGAGTTCATATTGTGGAATTTTGTGCTGCCGTATTGATATGTATCACTTGTGTAGTTGATATGATCTCCCAAGCAGTTCACACAAATCAGCTCTTGTGTGATATATAGATTCTCCCCAACACAAACACACTTCACAGCAGTATAAGGAAGTTCCCCTCCTAGTCTATGATTCCCCCGTCCATCATAATAACCTGGTCTCTAAAACAAATAATGGAGTCTATCATGATAATATGTAAGAAGAGCACATTTTTGTGTTTATTCTGAGTGCATTACCCAGTGATCTTACTTCCATCCAGTAGAGAGTGAATATTCCCTTTCTCTTCCCTTTCTTGGTATCCAACCAAGTCTGGCCATCTCCAGAAGCTCATTGTCTCTCTGTAATTGTCCAGTGTTCAATCCCGAAAGTGATAAGATGATGTTTCAGCTGTATATTGCTCATGGTGGTTACTTTTATTGTTCACACTGTTTTTCCTTTTTTTCTAATTGCTAATCTGCTGGTGCATAAAATACAAGAACTGAAAGATAAATGCTTGGGAATTCCTGTGAATGCACTGGACAGAGTCTAAACTGCTTGCTGTTCCGGTGAGAGATGACATTTAGAATTCAGGACCTAAAGTGGAAAAACTGAATGTCTTTCTAGACTGAGAGACAATAGAAAGATTCTTCCATCTCTTTCCTCAGAGTCTTTTTCTTGTCTCTCACATCAAACATCCCAGGCCACAGTATCAGGAATAAAAATGGTGCTCCACAATTAATTTTGCTCTGCTGTGAGTCTGCAAGCTTACCTTCAAGGCTTTACTAGTTATCAGTTTTCTATCTTTACTAACATGTAGTTGTATATTAGGGGTAAAGTGAATTATTAGGATTTTAATGAGAACAAAGCTAAATATTCTCCTTCATGTTACAGGGATGGGATAGCTTGAATAAAACCAAAATTCAAAACAAGTATGTGACACAAAAAATCTATCTTGGTTAGTCTTCGGCTTCCAGATCAGTTTTTCTTCCACGTTCTCTAGTTAGGCCTCTATATACACCTTTATGATTTCTTTTGGACTCAAATCTGAGCAATGAACTCATTTCTTAGTCTATTTCTTGGACCTGGTTTTCCCCTCTTGGAAAACCACTTGACATAATTAAATTATTAGATCATTATTTGGTAAATATGCAAGCCCAGAAACCTAGCTTTGTCACCATACTGAGAACAAACCCATCTGTCCCTAGCAGCCTCCCACTGGCTAAGATTATGTGGTTGATATATAAAACCACAATGCCAATCCATTAATTTTTACTAGATACATAACGAAAACCAAACCTGGATTATTTACTTCTAAAATGAAGACATTCAACAGCCAAAAATCAGCTACAAAATAATTTGATGAGTGGAGAGTGAGAACAAGAAGACTAGATGAAAGTGAAGTGGCATTGGGCAAAATTTAAACTAGTGTAGTGTAGTGCAGAGGCTCTCCATTTCAGCTACCAAAGCTCAGCCTGAGTAATTGCCCTAGACAAATTATTTTACTTCTCCAAACCATAATATGCTCTTTAGTAAATTGAGGGTGATTGTACTAACTTCATATTAAAAGATGCAGCAGTGACATACTTAGAACAATGCCTGGCCTATACTAAGTATGACCCTATTATCATGCAGTCTCACAATGAGGATGGATGGGCTGGTGGGATCATCATAGTTAAAGATTTGTAACTAGACACTGATTGTTTACAGGCATGGATCCTGCCAATATTTGCCACCATGCCTCCTCTTTCATTGTGTTTCTAGAGTTGACCAACAATCTTTTTAAGTTACATATTTTTTTTCTTTAAATTTGTCTTAGACATGTTAGTCAACCTTAGCATGCCCATGAAACATTTTGTCTCTTGAAGGTCATCTTGCACATCTGCTGTGAGCTATTCAGCATTGGATTTTACAGTTTCACTCTTAATACACAACCATATTCTCCCCACTTCTTTCTCTTATGGAAAGCCTTCTTATAGCTCTAAGCATGAAACCCAGTGTTCTCACAAGTGACTAAAACACTTGGATAAAGTCATCTAGTGTGACTGAAGACTTTATAAAGGACAAGAAACTGTTCAAATAACACTACAACAGAGACTGGAGAAAACACGTTTCAGATCAGTAAGCTGACCAGAGTCAGCGCCTCAATGTTGTGCAAGGACAAAACATAGAAACATTAAAAGAAACAAAATAAATCTCAATATTCTCATTCTCTTTATTTTTTTCTGTCAAAATTATTAAGCATAGGTATCTTTTCTATAAGGCTGGCCTATCTATTTTTAAGTATTGTATATTATTCTCACTTGCCATTTTGTTTTGAGTAGTAAATGCGTTACTTGTCATACCAATAAAGCACTAAGTCATAGGTCTCTTTTGAAAAGCTTTCTGAAGTTTGAAAATATGGCTGACATATTTCCTATTAGATTTAACTTACACAGGAGAAATTGGACATGGATGGCTCAAGAGAATTCAATAGGTCATACCCCAGGTGCCCCTGGGCTCAGAGTTTCAGGGTGAAAATTCTTACTGTGAGGCACAGTAAACTTCTAAAACATCCACTTGAGTGACTGCTTTCATGTCATCAAGTCTTGACTAATCAGTCCTGAAATTGTGGGAATAAGAGCCTGGTAAATGTAGACACGTTGATTAATTGTGCTCACTGAGAAAATACTTCATAATTATTCTCTCTTAAAAAATACAGAGATGATGAATACATGTGTGTATACATACAATTTTAATTTTTAAATTTACAATATACATGCAAAATGATCCATCATTTCAATATCTTCATTTCATGTAATGATATGAGAAGAGAGTATTCTCTTCCACTCCATTCCTCCACATCCATTACCGCTATCGCATAATTCTCATTTGATACTGATTAATTCCTTGTCCCACAGGTAGGGAGTTATTATCATTCCCAGGCTTCAGATGAGGAGGAGGAAATTCAGAGTGTAGATAATTAGGTCCAATCTCTCAGTGAATAGAAATAGCAAACAAATAATAACTTCAAACCCTTGTTTTCTAGCTTTGTATGTGGTGTCCTTTTGATTCATCCAATTTTGAAATAAATGTATTTGCATGAAAACATGTATTTTCATTTTAGACAGTGTCCATAAAGTAATAGTTGTGGAAGAGAGGTAAAGGAATGTATTGGGGTGGGGAGAGGATTAATCAGAAAAAATATTTAACAATTTTGAAAATTGGAGTTGAAGATGAATGAGAATATAAAGCGTTCCTAGATAACGGGCTCGTGAGCTTTGGAGGGAGTGCTAGAGGAAGAAATTAGAGAACAGACTTGTAAGAACCAGAGCTTCAGAGAAACAGAGCTCACGAGCTTGATGCCCAAAGGAATAGGAATGTAAACAAAGCAGTAGACAAACTGAAAGAGACAAGCTAAGGCTGTGAGTGGTTCCAGCGATAATACCAAGCTGCGCGTGTGTGGGCAGGCCCTTTAACTCACCAAGAAATTAAAATCAAGGTATGACTATCATTTGCATACTTTAATTGCCGCTTTGGGTTCCATATAGTCTTTGTAGCAATTACTTCTGAATATACATATAGTGAGAAATCCAAGTTCCCTCTGCCGTTTTGGGGTACAGAAATTTGTCTGAACTTGTTTTAGGTAGGGTGAAGATAGATTTTAAGTCGCTTTATTTATTTCAAACAGCATTTAAATTAAAAAGATGTTTAAATCCACTGCTTAGGGAAAATTAAATCATTTTGAATCACAGAGGTTGATGTGTAATAGAAATCACAAGGGATCTCCTGGTTGTGTCATTTATATCAAAAGAAGTGCTGAGAGAGAAATTTCAAAGGATTTCACATTAAACATTACAATGGAAAGAAAATGGCTTTCACAAAAATAAAGGGTAAAAAAGAGTAAAATTAATGTGATGTTTCCATTTGCCCTGTAGTCTTGTTGTGTCACTACGTGTTTAGAAATCTGCTCCCTGGTCTTCATCCAACAGTTTTGAAATGAAGCTGTTGAAAACTGTGATCAGCAAGCCCCCTTTTGCTCTCACTGCTCTTTATTTTCTTTTTCCCTCTGCAGACACCATCAGTTGCATCCTTCCAATCCTCTCCGTAAACCCATCCTCCCCAAAAGGATCTTTAATATGCTGGAAGTGAGTATGTTCTCTTCAAAGGAGGTGGGAACAAATGAACATATTCAGGGTGTACTGTAACATCGTTGTGAAGGTAGGGAAATGTTTTCTTCCTGTCTCTGGGCTTGTCTGGGAGAAATAAAGAAAGAGTAATCAGGAGGAGTCCATTAATATATTTTCAAATATTGTTCTCAAGTGTTTTATGACAAAAGCGCAAACTGATGGAACTAAATGGCAGCATTTTTTAAAACAATCTTGGACTGACACTCTAAAGCACTTAATTTTCCCTATGCATAATGTGCAAAGATTCTTATGCTAAGGAGGCAACCTCTTTTATTTATTTCAACTTGTTGCCTATTAGTTTAAATGAGCTTGAAGGTAAAGTGAAAAAGATAATAATATAGTGATTTTGCTCAGTTGTCACCGATTGATGCAAAACCAGTTGCTACTACATTTTAACTTTGTATTCTGTGCATATGATAAATATTTATGATATTTTGATTTGAATCTAATTTCTGTCGTGAGAGAGGCAGTGTGGATGGGTGGGAAGAGCAGGGATTATCTTTGTCATATAAGGATATGTACAGTATTCAGCAAGTTGTTTAAAGTCTCAAGTCACAGTTTCCTCATGAGATTACTTTTTAATATTGTAGTTTCAGTTACATGAGATATAACATATGGAATAATTGTCAATGTATTTGAATCCATATCTTCCTCCTAGTTGACTTCATCTTCTCAGATTTAGAATCTCCTGAAGAACAGAAAAATGTCTATAATGAAATACAAAATTGTTAGGGATGATGATGAAGAGATGAGAACAGATCTGTGTATCTCTTCACGGATCCTCAAATTAAATAGCACACCTATTTTTCTGAGTAGATCATATATTTCCAGAGGTCCAACAGACTATAGGAGCAAAGAGTGGAAAAGTAATGAAAGCGATAGATCAGAAACTGGTAAAGAAATCTCTCCGAGGCTGAAAGGAGAGCAAAGCATCAGCCCTCGAGAAAAGGACTAAGTTCAACAGCTGAAGGATGTAGTCACTCTTGGATTCATTAACGTAATCAACAAATACTTTTTGAGAATCTACTATATGCCGGGTAGATTTCTAGGGGACGCAAGAGGAAACGAACAACAGAAAAATCCCTACCTTTGTAGAGTTTCATTCTAGTTAAGGAGAGGATGAAGAAACGATAGCGATAAGAGTTAAAGAGTTAAAAAAAAAAAAGGAAAAAAGGATGAAAATATGTGAAGCATAAGAAAGTGACATTTAAATAAATTTCTGAAGGAAATGAGGGAGCCATACGGGAAGAGCATTTCAGACAAAGAAGCTGAAAGTGCTGGGGCCATGAAGCAGAAGTGCCTTGGATGCTGGAGGAATGGTGAGTGGGTCAGTGCGGCTACTGTGGAGTGATGCAGCAGGAGCAGTAGGAGATGAGATCTGACTGGTAACCTGGCCAGGATACCAGGTTGGGTCTACCAGTCATTGCCAGCACTTTGTCTTTTACTTGAAGTGAGGCGAAAATTCACTGGAGCATTTTGAGCAGAGGAATAGCATAACAAGATAAAGTCAAGAGAGTAGAGTAAGACAACTAATTAAAGCCAGTAACACATCCAAAATCAAGCAAAGGTGATGCAACACAGGCCAGGGAAAAAGAGATGTGGAAAACATTAATACCAAGACATGGGTTGGGATACACAGAACATCAGCTCTCCCAATAAGACCACTATTCTTGGTTCATTTGTTGATTCCTTTTAATTTGATGAAAGACAGTTCTGAGTGTGCATGGTCTGCAACTGAATTATGCAGTCAGGCAAGAGAGGAATGCAGAGTAATTAGCAAAAAATAAATACTTTCCCATAGTTTTCACTTGTCTTCCAACCTTTTAAAGACAATAGGTACCATTTTCAAATGTCTAATCTTTTTATCTATCTTCACTGCAGATGTGTGGACTAGAGAAAACTGTAAGTGAGTTGGGGGAAGAAACGTGGAGAGCAGTTGTTTTCTCAGAACACACTGCAGTTGGTCTAGGCTGCGTTCATCTTGAAGACCTAATTGATTTTACTTCACGTTTATGAAAAATGAGGCTAGGAGATATTGGCTGTGTTTTACTACTTTTTCAAAATGAAAAATTGAACCTTAGCATTTTTTGAATTCTAGGCAATAGTATTTAGCAATTAACGAGCACCGAGTGCCAGGCGTTGTTTTATTTTATTTTTCAAATTTTATTTTATTGCAGTAAGAACACAACATGAAATCTACTCTCTTAATGAATTTTTTTAAGCGTTTGTTGCATTAACTATAGGTACAATGTTGCAGCGCAATGTTGTCTCACTTGTCTGTTTTTGCTTTTGTTGCCTGTGCCTTTGCTGTCATATCTAAAAAATCACTATTGAGGCTAATGTTAAGGAAACTTTTCCCTATGCTTTCTTATGGTTTCAAGTGTTACATTTAAATCTTTATCGATTTCAAGCTAATTTTTGTGAGTGGTGTAAGATAAGGGTTTCAGTTTCATTCTTATACATGTGGATATCCAGTTTTCCCAGCACCATTTATTGAAGAGACGATCCTTTCCTCATTGAGTGTTCTTGGTGCCCTTGTCAAAGATTAGTGGGCAGTACATGCGTGGTTTTATTTCCAGGCCCTCTATTCTGTACTGTTGGTCTATATGTCTATCTTTATGCAGTTCTGATTACTGTAACTTTGTAATATATTTTGAAATGAAGAAGTGTGATGTCTCTAGCTTTGTTCTTTTTTCTCAGGACTGATTTGGCTCTTCATGGTCTTTTGTGGTTCTATATGAATTGTAGAATTGTGTTTTCTATTCTGTAAAAAATGCTATTGGAATTTGATAGGGATTGCATTGAATCTGTAGTATGGACATATTCACAATATTAAATCTACCCATAAACATAGGATATCTTTCTACTTGTTGCTATCTTCTTTAATTCTTTCATCAATTTTTTGTGCTTTTCAGTATACAAGTCTTTCCCTTTCTTGGTTAAATTTATTCCAAAGTATTTTATTCTTTTTGATGCTAATATAAACGGGATTGTTTTCCTATTTATTTTCAGGTAGTGTACTGCTAGTGTATAGAAACAAAACTGATTTATTATTTAATTTTGTGTCCTGTACCTTTACTGAACTTGCTTATTAGTTCTAACAATCCATTTTGTTTTCATGGAGTCTTTCGGGTTTTCTGTATATAAGATCATTTCATCTGCAAACGGGAACAATTTTACTTCTTCCTTTCTGATTTGGATGTCTTTTATTTCTTTTCCTTGCCTAATTTTTCTGGCTAGGACTTCCAATACTCTGTTGAATAGAAGTGGCAAGATTGGCAATAGAGAGAAAGGTTCCATTTTTTTCACCATTGAGGATAACGTTGCTGTGGGTTTTTCATATATGGTCTTTCTTGTGTTGAAGTACATCTTTCAATTCTTAGTTTGCTGAGAGTTTTATCATAAAACGATGTTGAATTTTCTCAAATACTGTTTCCTCATCTATTGAGATGACCATGTGCTTTTTGTACTTTATTCTGTTAATATATTGTACCATGTTAAGTGATTTTCATATATCAAACTATCCTTGCCTTTCAGGGATAAATCACACTTAGTCACAGTATATGATTCTTTTAATGTGCTGTTGGATTCAGTTTGCTAGTTTGTTGAGGATTTTTGTATATATATTCATCAATTCTTGTTTTCTTTTCTTTCAGTGTCTTTGCTTTGGTATCAGGATAATGCTGGCCTCATAAAATAAATTTGTAAATATTTCATGTTCTTCAACTTTTTGGAAGTGTTTGGGAAAGATTGGTGTTAATTCTTTCAATATTTGGTGGGATTCACCAGTGAAGCCATCTGGTCCTAGGCTTTTCTTCATTGGGAAATTTTTTATTAAGGTCTCAATCTCCATACTAGTTATAAATTTATTTAGACTTTCTATTTCTTCATTATTTAGTCATGGTAGGTTGCATGTTTCTAAGAATTTATCCATTTCTTCAAGATTATCCAGTATGCTGGTGTGTAATTGTTCATCTTATGATCCTTTTTATTTCTGTGGTGTCAGTTGTAATGTCTCTTCTTTCACAACTGATTTTATGTATTTGAGTCTTACGTCTTTTTGCCTAGTTAATTTAGCTGATGGTTTCTCAATTTTGTTTATCTTTTCAAAAAGCCAACTCAATGTCAATGATTGTTTTCCATTTTCTATTTCATTTGTTTCTATTCTAATCTTTGTTATTCACTTCCTTCTGCTAACTTTATGCTTAGTTTGTTCTTGTCTTATTAGCTCCCAAGAGATGTAAGGTTAGGTTGTGTATTTGAGATCTTTTTTAACATAGGCATTTATTGCAATGAACTTCTCTCTTAGTACTGCTTTTGTTGCATCCCATAAGTTTGATATGTTTTGCCTTTATTTCCATTTGTCACAGGGTATTTTTTAATTTCCTTTTTGTTTTTTTCTTTGACCCAACAGTTGTTCAAGAGTTTGTTGTTTAATTTCCACATCTGTGTGAATTTTCCAGTTTTTCTTCTGCTATCAATTTCTAGTTTCATTCCCTTGTGGTTGCAAAAGATATTTGATGCAATTTTGACCTTCTTCAATTTATTAAGACTTGTTTTGTGACCTAACCTATGATCTGTCCTGGGGAAAAATCCATGTGTACTCAAGAAGAATTTATATTCTGCTGGTTGAGTGGAATGTTCCGTATACATCCTTTAGTTCCTTTTTGTCTGTAGTGTTTTTCAAGTCCTCTCTTTCCCTTTTGTTTTTCTGTCTGGATGTTCTATCCATTATTGAAAATGGGTATTGAAGTACCCTACTATTACTGTATTGCTACCTATTTCTCCATTCAGTTCTGTTAATGTTTGCTCAAATATTTAGGTGCTCTGATGTTGGCTGCATATATATCTATAATTATTATATCTTCCTGATGGGTCGACCCTTTTGTTACTATATAACATCTTTCTTTATCTTTTGTGGCAGTTTTTGATTTAAAGTTTATTTTGTCTGAGGTAAGCCTAATCACCCTGCTATCTTTTGGTTGATATTTACATTGAATATCTTTTACCATCTCTTACCTTTCAGTCTGTGTGTTCTTAAACCTAAAATGAGTTTTTATAGATAACATATAATTGTGTCTTTTCTTTTTTAAATCCATTCAGCCACCGCTGTGTCTTTTCATTGGGGATTTTAAATCATTTATATTTAAAGTATTTATTCATAGGAAAGGATTTACTATTGTCATTTTGTTAATTGCTTTCTGTTTGTCTTGTAGTTCTTTTGTCTGTCTTTTCCTCTCTTGATGTCTTCCTTTGTGTTGTGTTGATTTTTTTATGTTAATATGGTCTGGTTCCCTTTTCTCTTTTGTGTAATTTCCACAGGTATTTTTGTGTGTGTGTGATTACCTTGGGGATAAACTATCTTATATTTATAACAGCCTATCTAAGCTGATTACAACTCAAGTTTAATCACATAAAAAAACTTTATACTTTAACTTCTCCCCCCACCCCACACTTTATATTGTTGTCATAATTTTCTTCTCTTCATATTGTGTATCTTTTAACATAGTTTTAGTTATAGTTATTTTTAAAACTTTTGTCTTGTAACTTTTATACTAGAATAAAGTGATTTAGCCACCAAGATTACAGTACTACAATGTTCTGTTTTTGTCTGTATATTTACCTTTACCAATTAATTTCAACAGCAAATAAGATGAACTCAAAGAAATCCACATGGACGCATTATGATTGAATTACGAAAAGCCAAAGAGAAAGGTAGAACTTTGAATGTAGCAAGAGAAAAATGAATTGTCACATACAAGGAAACCTCCATGAGACTGAGAAGAGGAAGAATGGCAACAGATTTTAGCTCAGGGCCAATCTTCCTCACGAAAAAAAAAAATGAGGAGAGAAAAAGACTTTCCCAGGCAAACAAAAGCTTAGGGAGCTCATTACCACTAGACCTGCTTTATGCTAAAAGAGTTCTTCAACTTAAAATGAAAGAATTCCAGGAATTATTTGGAATGACATATATGTATTATGTCTAATTATTGTAACAATAGTATGAGGCATATATTCTGTCAATATGGTAGATCTTTGTTATTTTGTGGCCATGCTATATTTTAAACATCTTTCCTCTATTTTGGTTAATTATCCATGTCATAATTCATAACTTCCCAAGGTAAAAGCCAAATATTTGCTTTCCCAGCCTCCTTTACATCATACGATCTACTTCTCTCCAATTAGATGCACTCACAGGAGAGGGCAATGTAAAGCAGGGGATGCTGGGAAAGAGGCACAGCACATTTTGCTGGCAAAGAGGTAGAGCACAAAATAGTGATGGGTTCCTAGTAGTAATGTCCTGAATGTGCTCATAGTC